AGGCCTTGGCAGATACAGTGTGTAAAAGAACTCATCTGCTTTGTAGATGGTATCTTCTTACTGAATCCTTGTATGATAGACGAGATGGACAAGCTACTCAGGTCTTTTCATATGGATGTTAATCTGTGACCTGATCATCTCTCAAAAACCTCACCTCTTACTGCTACTGTAGTGTGTATTAGGTTTCAGTACATGAATTTTTGCCAGGCATGGTGGCACACACCTGTAATTCCAGGAGGCTGAGGCAGGAGGATTGCTGCAAGTTCAAGGCCAGTCTGGACTATATAGTGAGTTCAAGGGCAGCCTATAATATACAGAAAAACCTGGTTCAAGAAAAAAAAAGTTAGTTATATATGAATTTCAAGCGGAAACAAACACAGATCATAGCAAAAGTCTGGGAATCATTCCAGAAAAATAAAATTTGGAATAGGAATTTATTGACATGTATTCTGTTGGCTACCATTACATGAGGGATGAGCTAGTTTAAAAATTAGACAAAAGACAGATGAAATAAATATTCTAAATGGCCAACAGTATGGAACTCAGCCATTCAACAAGAGCTATGCAGCTAGGAAAAATAGATTTTAGACTAATATTTAATGATATAAAGATGTTTATGAGTCTAATGATAACTAAAATAACTTTCCCCAGGTTAGAGAGCTTGTAAAAGGGAGAGCTAGTTTTTAAGTGTTCAACAATGCTATTTTATTTTCAAAAGAATAAAACAAAACAGAATAAAGCAAATCAGAACAGAACAATGCAAATGATACAGGACCTCAAAACAAGACAATAGGAAATCAACAGTGGCTACTATATGATAAGATGTCTTGTTTTCTTCAGAATAGTTATCTATACTATCACCTAATAAACTCAAACAAAGCAGAATAAAACCAATCAAGACAAAAGAATAAAGGCATTATAAGACTTCAAAGCAAGATGACAGAAAATGAACAATGGCTACCATAATGTCTCATTTTCTTCAAAATAGCTGACTCTACCATCACACATAATAAAATCAAAATAAAACAATAAAACCAATCAAAACTAAAGAATGAAAGCATTATAGGACTTCAAAACAAGGTAATAGGAAGTCAACAATGGTTACCATAATGCATCACATTATGTTCATAATAGCTCTCCATACACAGTAAAATCTAACATAAGAAAAAAATAAAGCCAAACCTAACAAAATTCTGAAAACCCTACAAGAATTCAAAACAAGATAATAGGAAATCAACAATAGTTATCATGTTCCCTTTTTTGGCATTTCCTCCCATATCACTTTGCATATATCTTTTTGGATCCCACTAATCCTTCAGTTTTTTAGGCTAGGGAGATAACTCAGTGTTCACCTGTATGAGACCAAATGATATCACCCATGAGCATAAATGGATATACTTACAAGAACCTTGAGATCATCCTACTTTGTAGTTGGGTAGCTTTCCATTATATGAAAATACCATATCTTTTTTATCCCTTCTACAGTTGATGGGCAAGTTACCCTTGCTTTTTTCTGGTCTCCTGTTGCATGGAACAATTGTTTTTTCTCTTTTGATTTTCAGTCCATGGATTTCCTTTCAAGTTAAGTGTGTTTCTTGTATATTGATGGATCTTGTTTCTTGATCCACTCTCCCTGTGTCTTTTTATTGGTGAATTGAGGCCATCTACATTAATAGTTACAATTGGCATGCATTGGTTCATCTCTGCCATGCTATCCTCCTGCTGTTGGCCCTCCACTTTTCTCCTTCATTCAGTTGCCTGTCCTTTTCCTGATCCTCTTCTTCATATTTCTGGAATCACAGTCTTCTTTATCTCTCTCTAGAATATCCTTCAGCACTCTCTGGTTGGTTTGGTGGTCGTGATTTCCTTCAGTTGTTCTTTATCATGAAGTATCTTATTTTTCCATCAATTTTGAAAGATAGTTTTTCAGGATACATCAATTTGGGTTGGAAGTTTTTTTCTTTCAGGATTGAAACACTTCACTCCAAACTTTTCTTGACTTGATCGTTTGTGTTAAGAAGTCTGCTGTGAACCTGATGTCTTTTGCTTTATAGGTGATCTATTTCTTTTCTCTAACAGCTTTTAATATTCTGTTCTTGTGCTGAATTTGTGGGATCTTGATTATTGGGACACATTTAGTTATGGCTAGTTGGAGTTCTGTATGCTTTGCTTATCTGTATGCCGGATCCTTTTCCCATGTTTAGAAAGTTTCCTGCTATTCTGTAAATAGTCTCTTTATTTCATTTGTGTTAATCCTTGCTTCTTCACTGGTACCTGTCATTCTTAAATTATTTTTCTTTGCATCATCTTTCAGTGTTGAATTGTTACTTGCTGTTTCCTTTTTATTTTTAAGAGATTTTTCCTTTGTGATCACTAGCTGTGATCCTGTCTTCAAGATCTGAAAGTCTTCAGTCTCTTTCAGATGTGTTTGCCAGCTTTTGATTGACTTTTTAACTTCCTGGGTATCTCTTTGAATCTGTTTCATGCATCGTAATTCCTTCCTATATTGTTCATTCAAGGTTTCCATCATTTTCCTATGTTCCTCTTTTTTATCTGTGCCTTCTTTAGATGTGCTCAGTACTTCTTTCATAATGTTTGTGATTTCTTCTTTAACCTGAAATATTTTTTGTGATCTGATTACTTTTACAGTCTCATGAAGTTGTTTCTTTACTTGGATTGCTATCCTCTCAGAGATTTCAGGTGTGACTTCCATTTTATTGTAAGACTGTTGCCCAGACTTATTCTGGGTGGACTGGAAGTCTGAGATTGCCTTTTGCTCCTTCGTCTTGACATTCTCCTGGGTTCTTCCCAATAAACTTGTTGTGGGGATCCCAGGCACTCCCCACATTGGCTGCCCCTCTGTAATGTAGGGCAATGGGACAGACATCTGAGTTTCTCTGAACTCGGGTTCCCAGGGAGGTAGCAAGGCATGGGTTGGGTTTCTCCAGACCCATGAAGCTACACAGGCTTTTGCAATGGCCAGGGGTGCATGGTGACGGGGCTGCATATTCTCTTAGACTCTACAATGGTGGCAGGCACAGAGGGGTGTGTTTGTTTGATTCTCTCCGTGGGTACTTGGCTGCCCAAAGGAAGCAAGGGTCTCCAATGGCAGTCTGCGGGTGCACTGGGTGTATCTGGCTGTTTCTCCCTGCCCGTACAGGCTGCCTGCTGGAAGCAAGCCTTTGGATGTCAGCAGCAGGCAAGCAGGGGTGGATCTGGCTGTGTCTCCCTGCTTGCACTGGCTACCCACAGGATATAAGCCTTCTGATGGCAGCAGTGGCACACAGGGGTGGATCTCCAGAGCTAGTTTTCACACAAAGCAATTTGATCTAAACCTCTTACTTAGGCATCATTGCATATCTCTGTAAACTTTATGAAACTAGACCAAATATTTTTAATTCATCTAGGAAAGAATATGTGTTCAAGTAATCAAATTTTGACAAAGCAGAATTGGAAAGAAGGAAGAGCATATCTTGCCAGATTTCAAAATACACTGTGAGGCACAGTAATTTTTAAAGTACCATAGTATAGTGGAAATAGGCATAAAAAGAAATAACATCAGAATAGTGTGTCCATTTTATATGTTCATAGGGAGGAGGCTAAATAGGTGTAAGAAACAATTAACAAAGGTTATCACTGATTAGAAGAGTCACAGATATTTTTTTCTTTTTTAAATTTTTCAGTTTTTCTAAACAACATTTTAAATTGTTCAGTATTAGCAAGGTTTTTTTAAATTCTGTAAAGCAAACTTTAACAGTATTTTATTTAATATATCTATTGGTGTTGACTTTTATGAATAAAATACTCTGCATATTCAGGATTGTTAACTCTGCAGAGTTACTCTCCAAGACACTGAGTATATTATTTATTTATTCAGAACTTAAATTAATTAGTCACACAGAATCACCAATCCTATCCTCCTTTTTGGTAAAGATGGAGAAAAGGCAATGGAGCATAATTGGTTTATGATTAAAGAGAAAGATTTTAGACATACAACTTATTTTCAAAACCTGAATTGTATGTTTTGGTGTTGGAGATTGAACCCAGAGCCTCACACATAGTAGGCACATACTCTACTATCAAGCTATATTTCCAACTCCCTAATTATTTACTGATTAAAAAAAGCTATCATATTTTACATATGTAGTTTCTATCTGCTCACCTTACTGAACTCTGTACTGTTATGGTTGTTTTCCAGATGATTCTTTTCGGGTTTATAAATGATCGTATAATCATTTAATTTATAAACAATATCTTTTCTCTGCAACTTTTAATCTGTATATTATATAATGTTCAAAAAATGAGATTAGATTTTTATGCTAATAACATCAAAATATGAGTCATATGTCATAAAGTAAAAAAATAAATTTATAGAGTCATATATAATATCCAATATTTTTTAAAAAATGAGCCCTGTGGAAAGTTACTCAATTTGAGGATATTGCTTCTCTTCCAAAAATTCCTGTACCAATGTAATCTTAATTCAGGCTGCTATAACAAAATACTATAGACTGGAGGGTAACTTGTCCAGTGGAAATTTCTCTGGAGAATGGAAATGCAAGATCAAGACCCTGTAGCTGATTCAGTTTCTGGTGAGGGCTGTCTTTCTGGCTTGTAGATACTTCCCATTCTCTCTGTACCTTCAAATGACAGAGAACCAGAGAGAGTGCTTTTTCTTGCTCTACTTACAGGGCTACAGTTGTATTGGCATAGGGCTTTATATCCTTATGGTTTTGTGTAACCTTTATTTTGTTTTACATTTAAAGACCTTATCCAAGATACAGTGACACTGAGGTTAGTGTTTCAGTATATGTATTTGGGGGTGACAGTTCAGTCCACTGTAGTACCTAAACTCTTTACAATATTCTCAGAAATGCTGTTTATTTGAGAATATTGGAAATAGTAGTTTTATCCTTATAAAAGTTTTAAGGTGCTTGTCTCTTTATAGTGTGTCATAGGAATTTTACCTAAGTTTAACGTTATGAATCATTTCCTCTTAGACACAAAATCGAATGAAGCTAATGGCAGACAACTATGAGGATGACCACTTCAAGTCCTCCCATTCTAATCAGACAAATCATAAACCCTCCCCCGATCAGGTAAGGCTGCTTCTGGCTATTTTGTTCTGTTTTAACTTTTAAAGTATTTTATGTTAACATTTTGCAAATTCCAAAAAGTTAGAAGAAAAGTAAGTCACTAAATGTCTCAAAACTCCACTTTTTTTTTAACAGACTCAATTTTTGTATAGGATTCTAAATTTGTATTTAGATCTAAATCTAAAATTTGTATAGGATTCTAACTAGTGATTCTAAATACCTTTTTTTTTTTTTTTTTTTTTTTTTAAATCAGTACCGGGATTGGAAACTGGTGATTCTAAATACTTTTTTTTTTTTTAAATCGGTACTGGGATCGAACTCACGACCGCCTGCTTGCAAGGCAGGTGCTTATGTCACTGAACTAAATCCCCAGCCCTTCTAAATACTTTTTTAAGGAACAGGAATATAGCTCAGTGGCACAGTGCCTGCCTATCAAGTATGAGGTCCTGAGTTCAATTCCTGGTACCAAATAAATAAATAAATCTTTTTATTTAAAGAGACTTAAAATTTTTGAGAATGACCAAAGAAAGTCCTTGAATTGGATTGAGAAAAAAATCGATCCTGCTTTTTTTTTGGCTAAAGAATCTGTTAAAGAAATAGTGCCTTATTAGAAAAACATGACTTGTATGCTCATTGAAGTACAACGCAGTATAGGGGCTGCTTCTGTTTAGTTGCAAATTATGAAATCTTTGCTCATCCCCTACTAAAAGTGATGGTTGAAACTTAGTTTCTTTATTCCATTTCCTGATGGATTGCTTCAACATGTCATTCTCAAGGGAAATTGTTTACTTCAACTTCTCAATATAAGACATAGCAGATAAGTCTAAAGGGAACCATATTTAGTTCCAGTTTTTTTGAAAGAAAACAGTTCTCTTGTTATCTTGAAAGTGGTGGATGGGAAAGAGCAGTAAATAGATAATCTCATATCCCATTGCCAAAAAATAGGTTTCAATATCTCCATCACAGCTAATCTTAAAATGTATAGCTAAGGGGGGAAAATATACTCAAATAATTACATCTGTATACCTAAAGAGTCAGGGAAAACATCTCTACTAAACATCTCTACTAAAAGACAGCTATGGCATTGTCTTAGAAGAAGCAGCAGAAATATTGTAGTTGAAAATAGTTGTGATACCCACATTGCTGATATTTCGTTTTTTGTTTTTTTTTTTTTTTTTTTGTTCCCTGAAATCGAACTCATGACCTTGTACTTGCTAGGCAAGTGCTTACTTAGGTGCTATGCCACTAAGCTAAATCCCCAACCCACATTGCTGATATTTCTAAGATGCAGAAAGTATAGCCTCATTACGATGACATTACTAAGTCAGTTGTGGAACACAGTATAGTTTAGAAAGGAAACAGTACCAATCTGTAATGCAGGTGGAAGGGAGGGAGAGATTGCTTGGTATCAGTAGTCATTCCCTGTCAATAAATTACTTTGCTTTCTTTGCCTGTTTCCCAGTACATACTTGGAATTAAATTTATGCCACCTTATGTACAATGTATGCTGGATCTTTTCTGTGTAATAAGTTTTGATATGAGTTAGTAGGAATTAGAATAGGGAGAGACAAAGATGGAGAAAGGTTAAAGAAAAAGGCAAAACATAAAGAAAAAAACGCCAATTTTTCCCAGGTCCAGCATAGAGATGACATGTGTAATTATAAACTAATAAAAGAAGAGAAAATGTATGATAAACTAATGCCTAATTTTTGTAGATTAGGGAATTACAATCTACTATAATGAGTCAAATTCTTTTCTAATACATTATGCATATATCTTTGTTTTAATACTAACTGACTCTTTTTTCATTCCCATGCTGCCCTGGGGCACTGTTCCCTTTGTCATCTCTCCCCCTAGGATGAGGAGGAGGGTATATGGGCATAGCCAATCAGATGCTCTTAGTTCAGCCATTTTGTTCAGAACGGTGAGAAACAGCTTTACTTTTAACTACAGAAATTATTTTTGTTCTGTTTCATTTTTCCTTTTACACAATCACTCTCACATCTTGTTTCTGTATAATTCATGAAATTCTGTGGTGTGCTTTCTGTTTTTTCATTTCACATGATTCTTGTGTGTATTGCTGTGCTTTTGGTATGGTGTTTTTTTTTCCTTGTGTGTGATTAGTCACTTTTATAGTTTCTTTATATACATTTTTGGGAGAACTTTCAGGGCATATAACCAAATTTCTCAAGATGTGATTTTGTTAATAAATTACTTTTAGGGGCTGGAGATTTAGCTCAGCGACATAAGGACCTGCCTTGCAAGCAGGCGGTCGTGAGTTCGATCCCCGGTACCAGAAAGAAAGAATAAATAAATAAACAAATTACTTTTAACAGTCCATCGAACTGGCAGTAGAAAATTAATTAACTTTCTGCTACTAGCCTGGGTTTGAATGTCTTTTTTATGCTAATTATAAATACATAGTCTGTTTAAGAAAAATCTGTATTCTTAGCTGTACTGTGCCTCCTTTTGCTTTATCTATAGAATACTCTGAATTCTCAGAGTCAGTTCCTAGGATATCTACCTATGACATCTCCTAGGACTTTGACATTACTCCCAAACTATCCCTAAAAATTAAAAGGAACAAAGGAGTAAAAGAAAACAGTAATTCTTAAGAGTTCTTTTCTCTCTTTGTATAAAATACTGCTTTCTTAAACAGTTGCCTGAACACTGCCCAGATTCTCCTTTGCAGTTCAGTTGGCTGGAAGAGAGTCTGGTTTGCTCTGATGCCCTTGAGATTTAACTAAGGAAACTTTTCTTAGAGAAAATTAATAATTATATTTAATAAGTTTATACATACTGGTAGCCTTGTTTTCCCTAGATTCAGTGTCTATTATTATTAATGATTTTACTGTTTTGGAGTGAGTTCTCCCTGAAATGTCCATTTCTTGGTGTTAAACTGCTTAAAATGATTGGGACGCATACAGACCTTTTACTGTTGTTGAACACAGAAGGATGAAGAGGTAAGTTGTAGAAAGAAGCTGTACACTATGAGACGGGAAGCTTTTTGCATGGCTTTATTCTACAAGAATGAATGAAGATGAAATGTGTCTGTGTCAGCCTGGAAGTTGTTAGATTTAGAGTGCTGCATGGAAGAGAAAGCTAAAACTTAGAAAATCAGTGTGCTACTTATCTATACTCTGCAAAGGAACATACTTGTTATCATGAGGTGTGTGGAGACCTTCCGATAGCAGAAAGTAGTTTACCCAGTGTCTTATAAATGAACATGGTTCCTCATTGCCCACTGTAACATGGAAGTCTCTTGGCTTGTCTCAGCAGGAGGCTTTCCACACACACACACCTAAACAGGATAGAATTTTGCTTAAAAACTTTTCTGTCCAATCAGAAGAAACACATTAGTGTTCTGGGAAATAGGCCCATTGGTAACTTCATTAGGAGATTAAAAAATGAATAAACCATCATATTTATTTCTTTGAGAAGTTCTATTTTTCTCTTTTATCAGAATAAAATAAATACTAGCAAGGGTTCAGATGCTATTTTACTTTTTCCAGTTTTTGCGCTGTTGAGCTTATTCACTACACTGCTATTGGTTTAACGCATTGAATTGAAATGTATTAGTTGGCCTGTCTTAGTTACTTTTTTCATTGCTGAGACAAAATATCCAGTAGCCAGAGTTAAAGAAAGAAAGGTTTATTCTAGCTCACAGTTTGTAGAGGTTTCAGTTCACAGTCAGCTGGCTACAAGGCTGGATAGCGTGGCAGAAGGGCATCACAGAAGAGAAGCAGTTTATGGCGAGCAGAAAGCAGAGTGAAGTAGCAAGAAGACAGATCCCTTAGAGCCTTCCTCCCAGCCTCAATACTGTATCTTGGGATGCAGAGCGAGTGGGTAGTACACAAGGGGAGGGACACCCTTAACCCTAGCATCGCATCATAACCTAGTCCCAACATCACACACTCCACATCTAGCCACTTCTGAGATACTCCACTTAGGACTGCGTGAAGCTTTAGGGCTACATCTAGACATAGCATGCCATAGCTGGAATTTCTGTGATATATTTTAAACTTCTAAAATTTGCCACAAATATTGTAATAAAAATTTTACCTGAAGAGTTGTATTAGTGACCCCCAAAACACTGCAGAAATTTTGACATTCTGTCCAGTTCTCTTGTTTGCCTAATTCTACATGGAACAGATTTTCTCAGCAGAATTTCAAGTTTGAAATCAATTATTTCATTATCAAACTTAAGACCTTAATGCTTTACATCTAAAGCATTTTGGAGACACTTACTGGCAAAGTTTGAGCCTTTCTACTCAGATGAGAAATACAGAGCTGAAAGTCATTTTATGGGCTGTGGTAGAACATAATGGTCAGAGTAGACTTGAGAGTAGAATGGCGATGTTCATTACCTCAGTAGCTGAAATTTTGGACAGGTATTTAATCTCTGTACATTGCTTATTTTCATCTTTTAGTGAAGGTTGTAAGAAGCAGATGAATTGTAAGACAAATTAATCTGGAACCAAACAGTACAGCTTTGAAATTAGATTCTTTAACCTACCTTATATCCTCAGGAAAGTGACTTAAGCTCTTGTACCTCAGTTTATTTATCCATGAAAATCAGTGTATTAGTGCATCCCACATAGGGTTGCTGGATAGATTACTCAGTTGGTGTATGTAAAATGGTTTGAATAGTACCTTACACCAAAAACTATTTTTTTGCACTTTTTGCGTTGCTGTTACTATTTTTGTAGTTGCTCTTGGACTGTTTAACTCAGCTGTATTCTAGGAAGTGTAAGTTTTCAGTAAAGCTAGTTACACTATTATTATCATCATCATCTATCCAGTGCTTTCACTTTATAGTTATCATACAAAACAAATATTTGAAAATTTAGACTCAAGGTCCCCAGCTGTTTCCGGAAGGAGGAACTAAAGGCAGTTAATGACAGAAATAACCAAGATACATTGATGATTATATTGCCTTTTCATCACTTAAAGTATGATCTGTATGTTGAAGAATTTTTCTCTTGGGAAAATACATTTTTTTTTAAGAAATTGCTTATGTAAAACCTTTAGTCGGTTGACATTTTCTTTGCGGGAATTAGCTCTTAAGATGCAGTCTTTTTTGTTTCTTAACTAAAAATATCCTTCAGAGAGAAACCTGTCTTCTAATTGCTCGTGGTTCACAGCCTTCATGAAGCACAGCCATTCTATATTGAGCTTTACAGAGGAGTAAGATAGGAATCAGTTTCCCCTTTGCATTGTCTGAGTCACTGTCCCTCCAAAATGATTGCCTCCTTAGGTCATTCTGGTATTTTAGAGTCCTATTCAAAATGTGCATTTGGAACAGATAACCTAGTCCTCAACCTCTGTACCTTACTTTCTTCATTTGTAAAATCAGAATAATATTACACTAGTGTCATGGGACTATTTCATGGTTTAATGAGGTAACCAAAAAACTCTTTAAAACAGTCCCTTTACATAATGTGGCGCTCCATTAATGTTTCTTTTTAAAACTGTATTACTATATTTCATCTACAAAACTGAAATAGCCCATTGGCAAAGAGTATGCTTTGCCTTCAGACCTAATTTTAATCCTGCTCAGTATCCATATAACTTAGCACAACTTAACTTCTCTAAGCATTGAATTACTCATTTGCTAAGTGGCATAATAAAACCTAGACCATTGACAATTAACTGTAATAGCATATTCCATACCTACCACCCTTTGACACATGGAAATGCTCAGTAAATAACAATGATGATGACATTGGTAGTGGTGGTGATACAACCTTGAAACATTCATGAGGTTCGTAGTTACTACTGTTCAATGTAGTTTTTTTTTTTGTCTTGTGTTATAACAGCGTGCTTCTAATTGCGCAGAAAGCCTACAATCCTAGTAATTAATTTTTCTTGAAGTAAAAGGTAATCACAAAGATAATGATCTTCTCTAAATATCTAATTGAATCATTAATGGTCTTGAGCAACTACAGCCACCTCCTTGAAGTATTCAGAGGCATGATGGGTTAGCCACAGGTATCAGATCCAGTCCAATTACCTCTAAGAAGCACCTCCAGCTAGCAGGTAATTTTTTCTGACCTAAGGATGATGTTCAGAGTACCAAGAAGTAAATAAAAGCTCCTATCTCTACACTGTGGTTCTAAATAATTCTTTGTAGGTTTGAGTTCCAAGGTCAGAGACAGAGACCTCTTAGGTCCAATGAAGTTAAAACTGGTTTGGAATAAGGAACCTTTCTCTTAATGTTTATTTTGTTACTGTTTTGTGGTGCTGGGAAATGGATTCACAGCCTTATACATTCTAAGTACATGCTTTAACACTGAGCTACACCCCAGCTCTACTCTTAGTGTTTTCTTTTAAAGGTTGTTTTGTTTTAAGGGGCATTGGGGGGGAAGGTCTTTTTTTACTATTTTCTTTTTTGGTACGGGCAACCAAACTCAGGGCCTCGTGCTTTCCAGGCAGGCACTGTACCACTGAGCTACATCCTGGCCCTACTCACACTGTTTTGTAAGAAAGCATTTTAGCGTGCTACAGATGCATCCTGCATGTTTGGAGGTTCTGCTAAGTGATTTAAAATGACATTAACCCGTGTATCACTGGAGTTAGTACTTTAAGCATCTCAGGAATCTCAGATTCATGGATTCATACTCTTCTAATTGGGAGCATTTAACTAATAAAGAAGAACTGTCTTCTTACTGTTGGTGACACTATTTGCAACTTGGGTATTGTTCCTTAAAAATCAAATATTTTTCCACTTTGTGCAAATCAAGTCCTTTGCATCTTGCTTATTTGTCCCATAATTATTTGAAAATACAAGCTTCTACAGAACTTATAAGTATTTACTGAGTGAAAAAATTAACAATGGCTGAAGTATAACTTGGTGGCAGACTGCTTGCTAGCATGTGTAAGGCCCTGAGTTCCGTCCCTATCACCACCAAAAACAATAAAATGAGGTTTAAACCTAAAGAAAAATTACACGTAATTTATACTGTTATGCAGTAGTGTTTTTTTAGTGTTTTAATTTCTTCCCATATGTTAACACATTATCCTGTAATCTAACACCACTTGTGTGTTGAGCTGATCCAGTCACTATCTGCTTTTCCCTATATCATTAAGTTTATTGCTCAGATCATCAGTTAACATATGTGGAACCCCTTTTTAGTAGTAGTTTTGGAAGACAGGCCTAACACTTTCCTATCATATCACATTTTATTTTATACACTGACATTATGGAAAGTATGATTTGGCTCACATTTTATCTGCAACAACAATATTGTTATAATGGAGTTGTCCTCAATTCTTCACTAATTTGTTTTACATTCTCTGTATAGGATTATCTGCTAGTTTGGGTTCAAAAGAATATTTTCTTTGAGAACTGCATCATTAATCAAGACAAAAGATAGTTTTTCTGTTTGTTTTGTTTTTTTGTTTTGTTTTGTTTTTTGATGTTACTGGGGATCAAACTCACTACCTCACGCTTGCCAGGCAGGCACTTAGGCCACTGAGTTACATTCCTAGCCCCAAAACAAACTTTTTGAGACAGGGTCTCACTGAGGTGCTAAGTGGCTCAGTTTGGGCTTGAATTTACTATCCTTCCACTTCAGCCTCCCAGAGCGTTGACATTACAGACATGCACCACCATACCTATTTTTGTTCAATCTTCCTGATGCTAGAGTGATGAGGCTAAAGTTTCCAACTGGATCTGGCAGTTAGCATTTCTGGGGTAAATTAAATAAGTACACTTGATTGAGGTGTAGCTGGACCGTATCACTAGCTTCCTGTTATGCTAGGAGATCAAAGCAGCACACAAATAGAGGCTTACTCTATAAAATATTCAAAACAGATGGCATGACCTTTTTGGGATACTTGAGTTGACTCTTGAAGGAACAGAGGCTTTTGCTAGGCAAATACAATTTTAGACTAAGATGTAGCGATTTGCAAAGGTTTAGAAGCATACACAGCATAACAAGTTTGACTACTCTGGTAGTTTGCACTGAGATAGAAAGTACCTATATAGTGCTTAGAGTATAGTAATTATCTATTGCGGTGTAACACATTACTCCAAAATTTGATATATTAAAAAACACTAAACATTTATTATCTCAGTGGTGTCAGTTGATCAGGAACTCAGGAGCAATTTAGATGGGCAGTTCTTACTTGGGATCTGTCAAGTAGTTGTAGTAAAAAAAAAATCATTTGTGACTGCATTTATCAGAAACTTTAACCAGGGAAGGAGCATCCAATCCCAAGATGACTTACTGATTGTTCTTACTGGCTTTGACAAAAATAGTTCCTCACTAAGTAAAATTCTCCATAGGGCTGCTAGACTGTCTCTGTGATTTGGTGACCAACTTCACCCAAAATGAATGATCCAAAAGACCAGAGCAGAAAGGAGGCCACATTGCCTTATACGACCTAGAATTAAATATTACCATCACTTTGGCCATGTGCTATCCCCACTTCTAAGTTCTAAGAGCATCTTATATTTAATAGGCCACAGGGTTTTAGGGATCACTTTTTGAAAAGACAAATGCTAGAGAATTTCTGGGTGTTTTGTTTTGCAGTGCTAAGGAATTGAGTACAGGGCCTTTGCACTCTGCTGCATCCTGCCCACTTTATTTTTTATTTCAAGGCAGGTCCTTGCTGAGCCCTCCCGCCTTCCGGGATTATAATCATATGCCATGACACCCCCAGGATTAGATTTTTTTTTTTTTTTGATACTGGGGATCAACCTCGCGCTTGCCAAACAGGCACTCACGCCATGAGCTAAATCCCTGGCCCCAGGATTAGATTTATTTTTAAATCATTACTGGATGTCAGGGCAAAACAATCAGACTGCAACAATCAAACAGTCAGCAGGAGATAGATCCTAAAGACCTTCATATGTAATGGAAGGGGAAGTGCTGGAAAGGGGAACAGAAATCAAGAGCATCCTGCATTATCTTGGAGAGTGTTGCAGAGAGCCCAAGTGGCAAGGTAACTGCAAAGTGAGAAGTCAGAACATACTCATTATCAAAAGCTTGGGGTCTTCCAAGAAATGTTTTAAATAGTTACCAGTCTTTCTTCATTTAGAAAGTAGTACAGTATAGAAGCCAAATTATACTTCAGAAAGTTAACTTCTCCACAGGAACTATTCAGATAAAAGCAATGGAACAAAGACTATATTTTATCATTGGTCAAAGTGAGAAGCATGAGATTGTGATTTCCCGACACTAACTTGGCTCCTTACCATCTTCAGTAGTCAGGTTACTTCTCAAGGCCTCCAATTTTTCATTTTAGAAAGTAAATGACCCATGGAGTCTAAAGTTTCTCCATTTCTTACATTGTGTACTTACAGTAGATCCAATGAATGTTTTAAACTTGTTTGACCTTGAGAATATTTGACCCCATAGAAGCATGCAACCGATTCACCAATATTTAATTCAGCCTACACCAATATCAAAGGCATTTTTTAGACTTTTTCTGGAACTGGTAAGTCAGTTCAATGTATTGATCAATTTTCTATATATGCAGTTTAAGATGATGCACTTTTACAGTTCTGTTATTTTAAACACTCATTTTAAGTATCAGAGTTTATACTTTTTTATATTTTAAGTATCAGTTCTTTTTTATAAAGTATCATGATTTTATCAGTCAGTGTTTTTCTGCACATCAGATTTTGCTAATTATAACTTTCTGCTATTGTCAGTTTTCTTTTTGACAGTTTTCTTTTTATACTTGTTGCCAAATTTAAATTTTCTTTCTTTCTTTCTTTCTTTCTTTTTTTTTTTTTTTTGGTGCTGGGGATTGAACTCATGACCTCGTGTTTGCCAAGCAGGCACTTACAACCACTGAGCTAAACCTCCGGCTCAAATCTAAATTTTCATTAAGCCAATACTTTAGTTTGAGATGATATTACAGTTGATACCAGTAATACCAACTATGAATACATTTTTAAAAAATGATTATTTCTTAACTAATCTATGAGAAAATTGTAATAATTTTCTCTCTGATGTCACAGTTATCATGTTATGTGGAACTGTTATATTGCACAGATTGGCAAAGATTTTTAAAGTTCCAAATAATAAATGTTTTCTGCTTTATAACCCTAGCTACCATCTTTCAGAATATTCAGTTCCTCTGCTCTAGTGTGAAAGCAACTGTAAATAATAAGTAAGCAAATGAATGTAGCCATGAACTAATAAAATTGTATTCACACACTATATTTTGATTTTCATACCATTTCCATGCTTCACAAAATATTATTCCTCGTACCGGGGATCGAACTCATGACCGCCTGCTTGCGAGGCAGGTGCTTATGCCACTGAGCTAAATCCCTAGCCCCAAGCATTTGAAAATCTAAAAAATTATCCTTAGTTGACAGATTGTACAAAAATAGGCAGCAGTGCTAGATTTGGTCTTTGGACTGTGATTTGCCACCTTCTGGTCTCCTGTATCACTTCAGTCTTTTTTGTGCTTCTCATCACTTTACATCCCTTACCTCACCAGCCACAGTCCCTAGGGGGCCAGGCACCAACGGTGAGTTTCAGGGGTCTTCAGGGTCAGCAAATCAAGTAGAACTGTCAGAAATAGCTTGTATTTTACACACACTCAGGTCCTCACAAAGATAAGCATTATGATTTTCTGCCTTGTTTCATTTTGTTTTGTTTTGTAGTACTGAGGAGTAAACCTAGGACCTTCACACTGAGCTGTATCTCTCGCCATTTTGTTTTCTATTTTTCCTTTTGTTTTTTTTGAACAGGGTTCTTTGAGTTACTAAGTTGCCCAGGCTGGACTTAAACTTACAGGTGGTGAAACTAATGCATGAAAAGAATAGTAGTTTGATGGTTATTGAAGAAGCTTAGTGTATGACAGGCGTATGGATTATTACAACTTACAAGGTACACTGCTTGTAAAGTATGTTGTTTAGGGTCTTTTAACTAGAATACAGCAGACTCTAGAAATAGCCAATTTGTCCACAAACCTTGTGCTCACCGTCACTGCACTTTTTTGCTTGCTGGTCTGTATTGCTTCATAGAATGTATAAGCTTTCATAACATAAACAATACAGAACAGACTCTGCTGAGGCTTTTTTTTTCCCCTCCAGTATCTGAAACTGGGTACCTTGTCATTAACATGATGTCACCACCTAAGGGCCTGCATACTTCTGACTAGCAGTACAATGGGTCATATTTCTGGCCACAGCCACACTGGCTTCCTCCTCTGGCACTGAAGAATGGAGACTACTGGATGTGCATTAAGTGTTGGGCTGTAAGGTGCTGAGGTGCCATAGCAGCTGTTGCCAGACCAGCATTCAAATAGATGCAGTTCTTCATTAAGATCAAAAGATACAGAGCATACATGAGAGCAGATAAGGGCAAGTAGCCGGGCAAATAGTTGTGCTTTACTGAAAGGTGCTTATTGTCATCACTCCAAGAGATGCCAGGATGTAGGAGTTCCAGTTCGGAGGGGTGCAGCCCCAACTAATCAGACCATAGTCCTTGTGTGTGCCCATACATAATAAATGCACACACAAACATAAAGGTGTGTTTTAAGTAATATATGCATCTCATACTTTATTCTACTGTACAGACATATATGATTACATATCAGAGCAGAACATATTGGTAACATTAGAAGCTGACAGCCTTCAAGTATCAAATGTACAGCACACAGTACCTCAGGCACCCTTGCTACATTAGAATACTTCGAAATGCTGCATATGTGGATGTGATATGCAGAGATTGATTACTAAATGAAACTATGGAAATCTTGTTCCTTAAATGAACCATTTGACAGAGATTTTGCTCCCAGTAAAACATCTAAGAAAGACTTTTTATGTCACATTAGTAGTGTCTCATGCAAAAACATTATAGCTGCTAAAGCCACAAAGCAACTGAGTATTAAGAATTCTTCAGAATGGTGTAGTACATTTTTGTTGGGGTGCTTAAAACACGTAGGTACCAAATTCTCCAGTAATTTGATGCCAAAGATATACTCCCTGAGAGGAGAACTAGAGAAAACCCAGTACTAACAAAGCAAATTAACATAGGAGGGATGGATTTTTTACATTCTGTAGATCTTTTTCTCATTTGATCTCTAGATTTGGAGTTTCTTTCTTTTTTTTTTTTCTTTGTTTTCATTTTTATGTCCTACTTTCTAAATACATTTACTGTGTTAGCTACTGTGATTGTATTTTTTTAAATGGTCTCTTTCTATGACTATTAACTTTAATTGTGTCATCTGGCTCACATAAGAAATTTCCGGCAGATTGGTAAAGCACATTTCTGGTTGTGTGTTTAGGTATGAGAGGATGACTGGATATTATATATGGTCCTGTTCTTCCTCTCTGGTACTGTTTCCCTGCTCTGCTTCCCAGCCATCATGAACTAAGCAAGTTTACTCTACAATGCCCTAACATGGCCTTAAAGCCATGAACACAATCCCCTGAACCATGAGCCAAATTAAACTTCCTCTTCTTTAAATTGTGATTTTTATATTGTTTCCCAACATGGGAAAACTCATACAGAAAGCTGATATTGGGAGTGGAACCATTCCTGGGACTAGCTGGTTAATATGGTTTAGAAGCATTTGGAATGGATTTTCAGGAGAATTTTAAAAGGTTTGAAGAAGCAGGCTGGAAAAGCCCTAGAATGCTATAAACAGAACTTAGTAGGTGATTCTGGTCAGAACTCAGAAAACCAGAATCATAATAGAAGTGTAGACAGTAAAGGTGATATCCCGCAACTTTGCAGAAGATTGCAATTAAAGATAAGAGAGAGGACTAATTGACCTGCTAGGTGAAATTTCAAAACAACCCAATTTTCAGGCTGATGAGAGGGGCAGTGCTGCATGCTTTTAGCCAGATTTGCATTGAGAATAAGGGACAAATAAGTAGAGTAGAGAATTTGGAAAAACTTAAATTTGGGCTCACAAGGAAATAAATTTAGGGTCAAGAAAGGAGTGATTGGTACCAATAAAAAGAAATTTAAGTACAGTGGTACCTAGGTTCACAAACTTAATTCTTTCAACAGTTCTGGTCACAAATTGAATTGAATGAAACTAAATCAAATTCATTGATTAGGTTCAGTGTTGTCCTTAAGGGAAAAATTAATTCTGTTCTCTTCCAGTTCAGTTAACAATCAGAATTATAGAAAAAATTAAGTTTGTGAACCAAGGTACCATTGTACTTTGTACAGAGACAATACCTGAAGGCATCTTAGAAATCATCAAGACTCCCACTTATCACAAGCTTAAGGATGTAGAAATATAAATCTTTCATTTAAGAAGAGAATCACTGAGAGTTAAGTGTTTAAGAAGGCCCTCCTATATCAGTGTGGAGATTCCTCAAAAAACTAGGTTTGGGGGTTCCATTCAACTCAATTATTCCCCTTAGGGTATCTTCCCAGAATTAAAAACATTGTACCACAGTGTGATACGTGTACACCCATGTTTATAGCAACACACGTTGTAATAGCTAGATCTTGAGAACAATCTAAGTGCCCATTGACAGCAGAATGGGTAAAAAAAGATGTGGTGTTTTTATACCACATGGAGTACTACTTGGCTATAAAGAAAAGCTTTATTATTTGAGAATATAAAGTGACTATGATTTTAAAAAGGCTCAGCATAGTACATCCAGAAATCCTGGAGCTCCAGTGGCACAATTTTTTAGCACACTATACTTATACAGAAATCCTATAAATTGTGGCTGATTACATGTTTTTAAATTAACAACCAGGGAAATCAAGGTTAAAAAACCTGGGGCATGACCACCCAGGTGATTTCCAGTCCCAGTACTCTTTGCATGTACATACAGCCCACTTTTGAAAGAAGAGCCCAAGTATCCTAATTCTCTCTGCTACATGTACAGGTTCATTAAGTACTAAGTGATGGAAGATTAATTTTGAAGTGCAGTGGCAGAGTGGAGCCTTTAAATGTGCAAGTATAGGCAGAAAAAGAAAACCCCTACATTTGATGAAGCTCACAGATCCTCAGAGGAAAACAGTCAAGTATTAGTCAGTAAAAAATGGGATGCAGACAGGCCGTCAGCGTGCTCAAGAAACCAGAACAGAGCTCAGTGGCACAAGCACCTGTTTGGCAAGCATGAGGTTGTGAGTTCGATCCCCAGTACCTAAATAAATAAGTTGCGAGACTGGAGAAAGATAAAGAAGAGCTACATAACCGGCTGCTCGCTGTTGATCCCACAAGACACATGAAGCGAGTGGAGCAGCTTCTTCAAGAGAAAGCCCATTTGGGTCAGAAATTAAAAGGGTTAGAGACCGAGGTAGCAGAACTAAGGGCTGAAAAAGAGAATTCTGGTGCTCAGGTAGAAAACGTCCAAAGAATACAGGTGTGGCAGTTGGCTGAGATGCAGGCTATAGTCAGGTCCCTGGAGACTGAAAAACAATCGGTCAAGTTGCAGGCTGAACGCCTGGAAAAAGAGCTGCAATCAAGCAATGAACAAAATATGTCTTTGATCAGTAAATTGCATAAAGCTGACTAAGAAATAAGCACACTGACCAGTACAATAAAGGAGCTGAAACACTCAAAGAAGCTAGAAATAACAGACATCAAACTGGAGGCAGCAAGAGCTAAGAGTGAGCTAGAAAGAGAAAGAAATAAGATTCAAAGTGAACTGGATAGCCTACAGTCAGACAATGAAATTCTCAAATCAGCTGTTGAACACCACAAAACGCTCTTAGTACAAAAAGATCGTGAGTTAGTATGTAAAGTACAAGCTGCCAAGGAAGAAGGTTATCAGAAGCTTGTGGTATTACAAGATGAAAAGCTGGAGCTTGAGAACAGATTAGCAGATTTAGAGAAAATGAAAGTGGAGCACGATATTTGGAGGCAATCTGAGAAGGATCAGCACGAGGAGAAACTGCGGGCGGGCTTCACAGATGGCAGAGGAGTCGGCCCGAAGGGAACTTCAGAGTATTAGGTTAAAACTTCAGCAACAGATTGTGAATATTGAAAATGCTGAGAAAGAAAAAAATAAAAATTCTGATCTGAAACAGCAAATCAGTACCTTGCAGATCCAAGTAACCTCACTGACTCAGTCTGAGAATGAACTGCTGAATTCAAACCAAATGCTGAAGGAAATGGTGGAGAGGTTAAAGCAAGAATGCCGTCACTTAAGAAGCCAAGCGGAAAAACTACAGCTAGAAGTTGAAAAGACATTGGAAGAGAAACAGATTCAGTGGTTGGAAGAAAAGCACAAGCTTCAAGAACATATCACAGACCGAGAAGAAAAGTATAATCAGGCGAAAGAGAAACTACAGAGAGCTGCAACTGCCCAGAAAAAGAGAAAGTCTCTTCATGAAAACAAACTGAAGCGCCTGCAAGAAAAGGTGGATGTGTTGGAGGCCAAGAGAGAAGAGTTAGAAGCCGAGAATCAGGTGCTGACCAGACAAAATGTTCCATTTGAAGAATATACAAGGCTTCAGAAAAGACTAAAGGATGTACAGAGAAGACATAATGAATTTCGAAGTCTGATTTTGGTCCCTAACATTCCTCCACCAACATCCATCAATCCCGTTAGCTGTCAGGCGTCAGCCATGGCCCCGGGCGTGGAGCTCTGCTTCCCCCTCTCGTGCAGTGAATTCCGCACCTAGAGAAGAGCAGGCTGGATCTGGCGTCAGGTCAACAGCTCACCATGCTGCTCTCCACACTGCTGGCGTTGACATTGCTCCCCTGCACATCGCTGCAGGCCTGTGTGAGAGGAGGCTTCGGGGTTTTCTGACAATTTGTTTTGCTTTAAGGAGGAACAACATCAAAGGAAACTCTGTCCTGCGCAAAAGACTAGAAGAACTAGAAACAACACGAAGACTCGGGTCTCCTGGTGAGTGATGTTCCTGGTGCAGAGATGGACAGATCAAAAGCGATGAGCTCTCAGCCGCGGCACAATGTGAAGTTTAACGTACAGGCGTTGAGCTGCTTCGCTGCTGTTTGCCAAAGTACTTGAATGTGCCTCAAGAAGAAAAGACCAGTTATGACAAATGAAGCATTAAAAGAAAGTTTCAGATATTTAGAATATATATTAATGACCTTTTGAGACTATAAAAATAAATTGATAAAAGCAACTAACTAGGAAATCAAGTTATAAAATTGACTTTACTTTGAATTTTTTGGCATTTTGCTTGAAATATGTCTTAAAAGTTCCTTATCTTTGAGGTGCTTGACAATAACAAAGACAGTAAATTCTTATTGTGGTTTACAATAAGAGTTATAAACCTATAGTTTTGGGAGAAAATACGACAATTTAAAAGATGGCATAAAAAACTCAGACATTCATTGCAAAAGTCTACCTTTTCAAAAAGCTGTGTGCACATAATTTATTAAAGAGCTTACAATAAATATTTTTCTAATTAAAAAAAAAAAAAAAAAAAGAAACCCGAACAGGGGTATATCCAAACTGAAGCACATGAAGCTATATGATCTAACAAAATGTAGGCTGGTTAGTAATTTACCTGTAAAGTAAGTTGACAAAAAAGAAAGAAAAAAAAATTAATTTCTTTTAGCTTCTGACAGGGAGACAATATGATGTTTACACATGTGTGTCTGGTTTATGTCCCTTATGAGTATGGTCTCAAGTTGCATCCATTTACCTATAAAAGTCTTAATTAGGGGCTGGAGGTTTAGCTCAGCGGCATAAGCACCTGCCTTGCAAGCAGGCAGTCATGAGTTCGATCCCCGGTACCCATAAAAAGGAAAAAGACAAAAAAAAAAAGTCTTGAATTTATCCTTCTTTATGGTACAATTCTTTATATTCTCAAATAATAAAGCTTTTTTAAGCATCAGAGCCTAATTATGGTGTTCTTCAAGCAATTTACACAGAGAGATGAGGGGAGAGGGATTCAGTGACTGCATGGGAGGTTTTATTCCCAAATAAAGGAAGCTAATAGAGAAAAGAGTGCTTCTAATTCTTCTTTTTCTCTATTTTTCTACCCAAGGCCTGGATTGCTGCCAAGGTGAAAGGGCTGATGTCTGGAAATCGTTAATCCATGGAATTTTTTTTCATGGCATATAAAATTTTCAGAAGTAATTTGCTTTTTAAGTATGATTTCCTGATTGACTACAGCAAACATAAATCCAAAAAAGGACAGCTCTGTTAGGAGAGCCAAGATCCCTTTTAGCTTCTCAGATATATGGGAATTTGGGGGGAGGTAAAGGGGGTAGAAATTAAGATTTTCATGTGGGCAGAGAGAGGCAGTAGAAAGGGAAAGGAAAAAAATATATTAATAGGTAAGAGCAAACCAAAACTGATAGAGGAGTGATGGGAAGATGTATTATACCCAAGAGATTCCTGAAATTAGCTTTTGTCTCACTAAAAACTCAGCTTTATCTCAGTTTGTAGTAATGAGAGGAAGAAATTAGGGAGAGACTTCTATACTCTCAGCCTGGGCCTGATTTTAGTTCTTATGTGCTCTTCTGTAATGTTCAGAAGTATCACCTCAAACTCTCTCTTTTTTTTTTTTTTTTTTTTTTTTGTCTTTTTCGTTTATTATCGGTACCAGGGATCGAACTCACGACTGCCTGCTTGCAAGGCAGGCGCTTATGCCACTGAGCTAAATCCTCAGCCCCTCACCTCAAACTCTCTAAGATGGAGTTCTTGTGACACTTATTTCCAACAAAACTACACTATGCTTAAGCTGAAAGTATTGGCTCAGGACCTCTTTGCTCAGATCTTTCCTTCCATTTTGCTGTCACATACTCTTGCTAGTACAAGCATACATGTGGGATTTTTTTTTTTTTTTGTACTAGGGATCAAACTCATGACCTCACATTTGCCAGGCAGATGCTTATGCCACTGAGCTAAATCCCCAGCTTACATGTAGGATTCTTAAACACCAAATCACAAATGTTTCTAACCTGTCACAGTTCATTCTCTGGCTGTTTCTATCTTGAGCATTAGCAGATCAAATTCCTATATATAATTTACTTTTTTCCAAATACAAATACTCATTTCTGATACTTATACATACCTACAGGCATGTTAATATTGTCTTCTAGATTCCAGGTGGTAGCTAAGTTTTCTTCCTCTCTCGTCTTTATGTATCTTCTTAGGCCAAGTTCTTGCTAACCACTTTTAATGAAGAGCTTTATCTGTCAAAGGCTCTAGACTCAGAAGGAGATACTCTTTGGCCATAGTCTGTGAGCATTCAGCAGTGGACTTCTACATGGTCTACTATGTTCAATTTGATGCTGGACTTAAAGTAATTAATAACAAGTTGTTTCTGTCTACTCTTAACTCTTTTGTATACTTACATACACACAACCTTCATGTGACCTTGAGATAAATGTTACTCAAAGAAGAATTTTTTCCAAAGACTGGCCTTTGTGAACCTTTGACATGTAAGATGTCAAATCTAATGGTTTGTAGATAATGGTACTTGTTTTCTCTTCTTTGTAATCTTACAGACTATGAGAAGGAATCAGTGTATGTGTTCTTTATCATCTGGGTTCGTATTCTTTATTAGAAGGTTTACTTTTCTTACATGGGCAACTTCACATGCATATCTGTTCTATTCCAAGTGCAATTATAAATTAGAGAAGAAAGAAAATGAAATATTGTGATAAAGGTCATTATTTTTTTCAACAGGCAACAAGCCTGTTTTTGTTTCTTAAATCTGTCTACCCAGTAGACATATAATAATGCCAAAAAAGACTGTTTTACTCCACCGCAGACAGTAATAATGGAGATACTTCAGGCAAGGGACCTAAGACAGAATGAGAAGTAAATTTTCAGGTTTGGTGTTTGAATTTGTGTACAAGCATGCAAGAAGATGAAAGCTACCATTTTTACCTGTGGCCAATTGTTTATCTCATTTTTAAGTCTACCCTCTGTCCTTACTTGACTTTGCTGCTCAAAAACATGAAATCTCTCTTTTCCCTCATTTGCTTTTTCTGTATGCCTAGATTTTTTCCCTTTATATCTCAATATCAATATGGAGCCCTAGAACTTTATTGCACTATAGAAAAGTCATTCAAAATATGTATGTATATATACTAATAATTTAAATTTAAACCGCACTCAGAGTTAAACCACACCACTGAACAAAGAAATTTAACAAATATGTACAGAGTGTTTCATCTGACAATAGAATCTACATTTTTCTCAATAGCATACAGAACTTTTTCCAAAATAGGTCATATCTTAGGCCATAATACATGCTTAAATACTATTGGATCATAATGGGATGAAGCTAGAAATTCACAGCAAAAGAAGCCACAGAAACTATGCAAACACATAGAAAGTAATACATTATTGAATAATCAGTGATTATAGAAGAAATTAGGGAAGAAATTTAAAATATTCTAAATTCCCATTGGTTCATCAGTGGGTATCTAGTCACCTTCCAAAAGCTCCCCCTCTCAGTGAATGATAGTTTGGGAGGATATTGTAGTCATTAAACCACAACACGTGGTTAGCTTGTGACAGCTTTGTGTCTCACAGAACATTCCTTCCATTTATCCTCTTTTGTCTGCCTTACCTTCATCTGTTCATATGCATTACCTTGCCTGTTGGTAAGTGATCTTATTTTTATATGCTATAACCCTCTATTAAAGTAAATACTTGATATTTACAACCTTAATATTTTCATCAAGCACATAAATAGATATGTGGATATGCTCAACAGACTTCCTTTCCTCACTAATGCACAAGCCCCTACCATTCTGTTCCTTAAAATTTAACTTCAGCAGCATTTCTTATAATCCATAAGGTAGGGTAGATTTTAACTGAGTGAAAGCAAAATGTAGATAAACTTTATGCCAAAATCTAACATACCTGTCTCTAGTCCAATTGTCGATGAAACTGCAACCTCCTGAGCCTGGCCATTACTTTCCATATTCCTGTCATCATGGTGATCTTTGAGCTCCAATAAGAATCACCTATTTAACTGGGTATGGTGGCACATGCCTGTAATCTCAGCACTTGGGAGGCTGAAACGGGAGGATCACTGTGAGTTTTAGGCCACCCTGGGCTACAAAGTGAGTACAAAGCCAGTGTGAACTGCATCGCAAAACCCTGTCTCAAAAAGAAAATAAATAAATAAAACAATCATCTCTTCATCAGGCTAATTACAACATTCTGAAGCTTCTCTAAACCTGAGCTTAAAACCTTCTCAAACTCCTCCCACAAATCATTTCTAGTGTACAATCACACATGAAAAATTGTTACAAGGTGGAAGCTAAGATTTAGAGTTCTGATTTCTTGCTTCCAGGGTCCCTTGGGTGGAGTCTGAAGCAATGATGAAGATCTTAGGTGAGTTAGTAGGGCTCTTCATGCTCTTTGAGTTGACTCATGTTCATACCGGTTTGTCAATAACCTACACCACAGTGTGGCTCCTGGTTAGAATGGATCGATTGCCTCTGGTGAATAACTTTCAAATTCAGCCCCATGAGCTTACTGTGGGTAAGGACTGCCCTGTCTCTCCATCGTGCAGGCTGACTTCTTTGAATTCACTTATTTTCTGTCGTTCCGTGGCATGAGGATTTATGAACAACAATCAGGTACATTCATTGAAACTTCAGCCACATATAATCTGGAGCATTTAGGTTTTTTTTTTTTTCCTCTACCTCTACATAACATGTTCAAGAAAGTTAACAATAAGCATTTTAATGAAAAAAGGAAGAGAGGCTAACCATGAACACAGAGTAGTGCAATAGATGTGGTCTGGTGGAAGTGAGTACTCAGAAATCCATCAAGGAACATCACCTTGGGGCAGTTGTTAGAATTTTGTTAGAATCTTGTTAAAATAGAAATTTAACTGCTTCCTTTTACAAGAGGGCTTTAAACTATAAATTCTACACCATGAAGTGATCGTAACAGCCCTGGCTGCTTGAAGATTTCACTGCTTCTTAGATATTGGACAAATGCCTATGGGGATCATCCTTGACCATTTCAGTATAACCTTTTAAAATGAAAAACCTGCTATTCTTTCCATATTTATGAAGTCTTTGGATGGGAAAAGGGCTTCTCCAGATTTTAAACTTGTGATAAAAGCAATTTTAAAGAAATAAACTTTGTACATCTTTTTTTAAAAAAGATCTGGAGTTCTGGAGTTTCTTGGATTTAATTTCAACTAGGTTAGCTTTTATTTTTTCATGAAATGTGTAGTGTTTATTGACTTACTCCTGAAAGAAAGGCATCTATGGTACCCTCCAACTAAGCACAAATGCAATCCAAAGCTGCTGAAACTTTCCAGATTCTCAATACTAACAGTAGTTTGTTTGCTTTTTTTTGTTTTGTTTTTGTTTTTGTTTTGTGTGGTTCTGGTGTTGAGAAATGAACCCACGCCCTTGCACATGCTGGGCAAACATTCTGCCACTGAGCTGCATTCCTAACCCAAGGTTTGTTTTTTGAAAGATATTGTACAGCTGTATTTTATAAACTATCTTAAGTGTAGGGTTAATAGGTATATTTTTGTCTGCTATATTTCTTGCAGAAAAGTATAAAGTATTGGTTATCCTAAAAAAAATCTTTTTTCTATTTGTTAGGACTAAAGATGAGGAAGGCCCATAATACTGAAAATATTTAGGGAATCTGTGAATTAGCTTTCTGCTTGTGCTTTAGTTGAAAACATTTTAAAAAGTTTGGTCCCAGGGGCCATTTAAACACTTAACAACTTGTTCAATTTCATAAGTATATAATTAAAGACTAAGTAAACCTAGGCCTTACATCAGACAAAGAAATTTACTTTGCAATTTAAATATTTCCAAATGTAAATTTAAAATTAAAGATAAATCATTTAGATGCATAATTTACACAATTTAAATATTACATATACCCAATACATGAATTACATTTTAAAGTGTAGAGTAGGACTATACCTTTTTCCTGTGTGTATTTGGTACTAGGAACTGCATCCAAGGCCTCATACATGCTACACAAATACCTACCCCTGAGCTGCATCCCCAACACTTTTTTTATTTGAGACAAGGTTTTGTACATCTTATTCTTAATATATCCCTCAGTTAAAGGTTAATGTGGCATGAAGCAAAGTCATTCACTAGTCTGAATCATGATTTTTTAGTTTTGTTAGCTATTATGCAGTATATCTGATCTTTTAACTTTAGGGTTTTACTATGTTTTTTATTTTTTAAAATTTGTTTTGGATGTGTTTTAAATCTATTTTAAAGAGAAAATAAAATTTCAAAACAATACTTAGGGGTAACTATAGTCTATATATTGTGTATTGCCTATATCTATATATTATTTTCAAGAGTTTTGCCTACTCTTCTAGCAGATTTAATGTTTCTATTTTAATATTTAGATTTTTTATCCATTCCAAATTTAGTTGAGTGCATATATATATATATATATATATCACATATACATATACTATTTCTTTCCAATTCTCACACTAGTGGGATAATATGATATTTATTCATGAAGTCTGATTTATTTTCCTTGTGAGTATGGTCTCAAGCTGCATCCATTTACTTATAAAAGTTTCAAGTTTGTCCTTCTTTATGACTGAGTAGTACTCCATTGTATTAAAATACCACATATTTTTTTATCCATTCCTCAGTCGATGGGATTGTTCCTCAGACAGATTGTTTCCAAGATCTAGCTATTACTAACTGTGCTGCTATAAACATGGGAGCACATATATTGCTGTGGTATGATGTTTTTAATTCTTTTGGGAAGACACCCAGAATAACTGGGCCAAATGGGACCTTCAATACTAGTTTTTGAGGAGTCTCCACACTAATTTCCACAGTGGTTGCACCATTATACACTCCCACCAACAGTGGAGAAAAGTTCCCTTTTCCCCAGAGCCCCTCCAGCATTTGTTATTGGTTGATTTCTTGATGATAGCCATTCTTTCCAGGGTGAAATCTTAGTGTTGTTTTAATTTGCATCTCTCAAATGACCAGTGATGTTGAACATTTTTTCACATAATTATTTGCTGTTTGTATTTCTTCCTCTGAGAAGTTTGTATTCATTTCAGATACCCATTTTTGTATTGGGTCTTTGTATTTGGAAGGTCTGATTTTTTTTTTAGTTCTTTATATGTTGTTGATAGTAATCCTCTGTCTGAGGAACAACTGACTTAACATTTTTTCCCACCTGCTGGGCTGTCTCTTCCCTCTATTGCTGGTTTCTCTTGCTGTGCAAAAGCTTTTTAATAAGATGAGATCCCAGTTGTTGATTCTTTGTGATAGTTCCTGTGCAATCTGGATTTTGTTCATGAAGTCTTTGCCTACACCAGTGTCTTCGAGTTTTATCTACCTATCTTCCAGAAGATTCAATGTTCCTGTTTTAATATTGAGATCTTTGATCCTTTCCAAGTTTAGCTTAATGCATGATGAAAGATTTAATCTTTGGCATGTGTACAGTCAGTTTTTCCAGCACCATTTATTACAGAGACTATCTTTCTTCCAGTGAATGTCAAAAGCTAAGGTGGCTTAACGTGTCTGGAGGTGTTTCTGCATCTTCTAATCCGTTCCATTGGTCTTTGAATCTTTTTTTTTTTTTTTGACAGTACCATGTTGTTTTTATCACAGTAGTTTTATAGTGTAATTTTAAGTCAGGGATGGTGATGCCCATCTCACATTTGTTTGCAAAGGCAATCCTGGGATCTTCTGGTTCCAGATGAATTTTAGGATTGTTTTCTCTAATTCTGTGAGACATACTATTGGAATTTTTATTGAGATTGCATTGAATCTGTATAACACTTTTGAAAGCATGGCCATTTTTACTATTTTATATACATATTTATATATTTATATTTATATATCTATATATATTGTTTTGATTTTGTGTGTATGTGTGTGTGTGTCCCAGTAATCAAACTCAGGACATTGTGTTTACCAGGCAGGTGCTTATGCTGTTGAGTTATATCCTCAGCCCCTGTATTTTTTAAAGAACTTTAAACTTTTACAAAATAATTACATTGCAGAAAAAATATATTACTTAGCTCCAAATCCTTTTTTTAAAAAAAAGTCTTAAAACTCTATCCTTCATCCTCCTGATCCTCAGTTACAGTATTGACCAAGAATTTAACCTTAGTAATTGAGGGGAAGAAACTTTGAGGCAGGATTAATGAACTTTTTTCTTTTGTCTCTTTTTTTAGTTTTCTAAAACTGTTGAGCCTCTGGTGGGAAAATGTCATTAGAATAGTGTATAGTTAAACTTAATTGTGCCCACACTAATAAAGCACACTTTTGAGTGTTTCGAGTGTCATGGAGTTGTGACCTTGAGCACTGTTTCTAGCTCCCTTGTTCCTTTCTAATACTGTTCGATTACTCTCTTCCTGGCCACCACGAACTAAGCATTTTTCTCCAGTATGATCTTTCACCATAGTGTTTCTGTCTTGGAGCCAGCCAGTCATGGACTGAGTCCTCTGAAAGTGAGCTGAATTAAACCTGTGCTCCTATGGGTGTCAGGTTTTGTTTTACAGTGACATAAAATGGCTAATACAGACATTAATAGTTTTGTCAAATTTAAACCAGTTAATTTCTTGGACATTTTTTATGCACTCTACATTGAGAGATAACAGTGGAATGGTAGCCCAAAGAGGAACCAAATCTAATAACATTTCTGTGATTACTGTATGGGCAGTTGGACCTGCCTCTGATGACATCAACAAGCAAAAAGAAGAGAAAAATTTTGTAACCAACTCAGGACAGTGAGCTAGCCACAGAAAAATTGTGCTAGGTATAATTCTAATTTTCCAGGAACATAGTATATAATTAATATATATAGCTTTGAAAAATGGTATCTTTCAAGCAACAAAACATTATTTCCTTAAGGGCAAATATGTACTGAAGTCATAAACCATATTGAATACCTGTCAGTAAATCTAGTCTTTATGATGAGGATATGCCATCCTCTCACTATAGCATCCTGCAGTGTGTTGGAACCAGCTTACCATGCTTAGAATAAATATCTCATAGAATACAGTGGGAAAAGAAAAGCAGACTAACTAATTGGCTGGTGGGGCAGGACTTTTGTTCTGCATATTCTATCCTGGTATTGAAAAATCGAATGGCCTGAGAAAGTGTTCAGAGCTCATACAAATATAAATTACAGAAGTGGATAGAATACTATAGAAGTCATATGTGAAGAAAAGATATAACTTAAACATCCCCACAAGCTATCCTCTTTACTTGGCAAGTATTCTTCTTCTCTCTTGATATTAAACAGTGGCATTTCTACCTTGTAGGGGGTCACAATTTATTTTGTTGTTGTTGTTGTTTGTTTGTTGTTTTGAGACAGGGTCTCACTAGTTTAGGCTGGTCTCAAACTTGGAAACAATTCTTCTGCCTCAGCCTCCTGAGTTCTGGGTTTATAGGTGTGTGCCACCATGCCAGACCACAGTTTGTTTTCTAAGTGGACTGCTTAAGTTAGACAGAATGAGCTGGGGGAGATAAGGGCATTTCCTACATGACTGACAAGGATTTCAAAGAGGTCAAAGTAACATTTTTACAGACAAATCTGAAAACTGTTCTATTTGGGCAATTCTTCCATACTTTCCAGTGTATATGTACTTTAAAAGCAAGAAAGAACACATATTCTGAATGTTGCATAGAATGTTTGATTGTAGAAAAAATTTTAGTATTCCATTATTTTTTAACATTTTTGTTTGGATTTTGAAATATTTCCGCATGCAAAGTACTGTTGCATTGTTTATTAAATCTATTAGCATTTTACCATAAAATTTATTAAGTTGGTTTGAAATTCCTTTTTGATTAATAACAATCTAAAATAATTAGATTATTTCCATTTCCATAATATATCCATTCAGATCAATGGCAAGGAACTAATAATCATTCTAAATTCCATTTTAACATAAGGGATATGACCTTTCCCTTAAGGTCATTTATCACATTGTTAGTGGTCACACATCTTTGTTCTGGTTTTCCAATCCAAATGGGCATTTGCTCACTTAAAATATCTTTCAGTCTTGAAGCACATGTGTGACATTTTTTGAAGGCAACCTCAAGCTCAAACACAAAGAGGATGAAAATAAATTGCTCAAACCCATTCTGAAAATTCCCAAGACGATTTTTTTTTATAATTGTATCTCTAAACATACAGAAGACTGTGCTTAAAATAGAAAAGAAAATGAAATAAGGATGTATTACTTGGAGTCGAGAGGAAAGGGAGGTATTAATAAAACCATGACAGTATACTTTGGTTTTCGTTTTGGTTTGTTTTTGGTACTAGGAATCAAACTCAGTACCTTGCTCTTGCAGGAAAGTGCTGTGCCACTATGTTGTCTCCCTCGAGATAAGATGGTTTTGTCATTGATGTATAAAGTATATGTACATTTAAAGGAACAGGCCATTAAAGACTACACTTTTAAATTTTTAAACTTTGTACAGTGAGTATGCATTGGAGATCAGAAATAAAATACAATTCTTGTGTTAAAGATTAGTGTTTGTGAAAAAATTCCTCCACTCTCCCCTGCTTAATTGAGACACTCTTCTCCTGGGACTGGCTGTATTGTTATTGCCTGACATAGGTGGGAAATTTCACTGCAGAACTGGAACCATGAGACTGCTGATTAGGGGTCTCAGGGGATCTAAGAACCTTCCACAGTAGCACTTCAGTGTTCATCTATTATCCTTATAAAAAGTGGATGTGTTTTTTAAATTTACAGTTATAGTAATTGATTCACTTTTCTCTAGTTTAGCCAGGTACAATTTCTATATTATAAGATTATAAGATTCTGTGAGCCTAAACTCTGATCACTTTAAACTAAAGATTATTTTCTGTGGGGCTCATGAAATAATCAGTGTCACTGTCAAAAGTGATACCAGGCCTTGGTTCTTTTGACTAGAAGATTATCAAGCTCCGTATTCATCAGGTGAGTCCGAGATGTCCTGTTGAAATAAATGCTAGTCTGGTGAAGTGCAACAGATGCAGACCTTGTCTCTTGAGCCCCAGAACACTGAAAATGGCCAGCTTCTTGGCAGTATTGTGCAGCCACCACCAGCTGCTGTTCATCAAGCACACAGTGCTCTGGCTCTTAAGTATGCTGTGATGTAAGAACCTGACCCAACTCTCTTCCTAAACACCAGCTGGGACCTGCTGCCAAGACTTGGCCAAAGGACTGTTCCAAGAGCTGTTAGGTGAAATTCTGGAGCAAAAAATCATTAGATAACGTATTCCCACAGGAAGTTCAAGGAGTAATTAGTTGTTCATCTAGGGTAAAGGGAACAAAAAAGAAGAAATTTTAAACAGGTGTATTATTTAAGAAAAACAGAACTAGTGTGACAACTGAATTTCATTCTCTAGCTGCAAGTCAGGTACTTGGAGATGCATAAGGATTTATCAGTCACTGTCTTAAAAACTATCAGATATCTTCTGTGAAATGAGTGAAGAGAGCTAAGTAGGATGAGGCAGATCCAGTAATTAATTCTATCATCATGTCTGTTGGCCAAGAAAAGCATGCACCTTCTCCAGAGCCAGAGTTTTTCTGTTCCAGAAAGTGAAAGAACACACAAAGTATATGTAGTACAGTCTTCAGATGAGCAATTTTCACTAGCAGTTTTCTGTGACTTACTCATAAAAAAGTGAAAAGAGAAATTGTGAGACAATGAGTCATTCTATATCAAAAATAGCATCTCTCTAAAAGCAAGTTGGTCCTGTTGTTCAGTTCCCTGCTGAAATGCAGAATGCTTGGTCTGGTGTTGATACACTAAGCCAACACACTCTCCCTGTCTCCTACAGAGGCAGTTGGGTGTGACAGTTTAAATGTGTAACACAATCTGAGCTGTTTCTCTTTATAATCCAGAAGGTGTCAGTAGTGATTAGAGAAGCTTCAGCCTTTGCTCAGTTTTCTTTGAGTTAGGAGTGGTAAAGAATATGTAAATTTCTTATTTCTCGTTGACCTTGACTTTCCTTATTTTCTTCACCTCAGATCATCCAACCCCTTTTAGAACTTGACCAAAATAGAAGCAAGTTAAAGTTGTATATTGGACACCTGACAGCCCTCTGCCATGACCGAGACCCCCTCATCCTTCGTGGACTCACTCCACCAGCTTCTTACAACTTGGATGATGACCAGGCAGCTTGGGAGAATGAGCTGCAGAAGATGACCCAGGAGCAGGTCAGCCTCTCACTCGAGCTTTGACAAGAGCCTACCAAGAGTTCATACATGGGAGCTGTGTCTGGGAGTACAGTGTTAAGATTCAAGATTCTTTTCAGGTAGGGCCGAGGATATAGCTCAGTGGTCAGAGGCACAGCAACTACCTGGCAAGTACAAGGTCCTGAATTTGATTCCTGGCACCCTCAAAAAAAAGATTCTTTTCAGGGAAGGAGGTGGTTCCAGATACCACTTTTCAGTTGATTTGTACTTTAATTTTTTTCAATGCCGGGGATGAATATAGCCTTGCACACACTAAGCAAGTTCTCTGTCACTAAGTTATACCTCTTAAATTTATTTTTAAACTAATGAAAAGGACTCACCTTATGCAGTGAGTTATCTTAAAATATGTGTAAAATTATTAAATGGAGCTATTATATATATACATTACCTCACATTTTTTGTGATAACATTAAAAATGTGCTCTTAACAATTTTCTTGTATATAAAACATTAGCAGTAGCATGTTGTATAATCTCTTGAATGTATTCCTCCTATTTAATGGAAAATTTTAATCTTTGTACCAACATTTTCTCACCCCACCACCAACCCTACCACTGATAACCACCATTCTTTTCCTAGAATCAAGTTTATTAGCCATCAGAAGACTTAAATAGATGTTCCATATAACCTTTAGAAGGAAGTGTCACTTCCTTCTTAAGGGAAGTTACAAACTGTCTGTTAACCTACCGTAGGTTATGACATAGAAGTCCAGACCACTGAAGAAAAGTTATTTGAATAAGGGATTTTTGACAGGACAGTAGCATAGATCTTCCCTTGTCTTGGGTAACTGTGGATTACAACAAGGTTTTGTTGTAGAAGAACTATTACAGGTTAAGGTTAAGGTTTTGAGTAAAAGAACTATTAATACTGTAATCCCAGCACTTGGGAGGCTGAAACAGGAAAATTGCTGCAAAGTTGAGGCCAGCCTGGGCTAGAAAGTTTAAGGCCAGCCTGAACTGCATAGCAAAACCCTGTCTCACAAAAACAAGAAAAAAAAACCTATTAATCAGTTTATGTCAGCCTTTGTCTTAGTACATTCACACTGCTATAACTGAATACCATAACCTGGATAGCTTGCTAAACAACAGAAATTTATTCTGACAGTACTCGAGGCTGGAAATCCCATATATAGCAATAAAAATTGAAGGAAATACTTATTTATGTCTGGAAATAAGCGTTTCTCTGCTTCTGTCAGGTCATGAGCACTGAGATGGTACATTTTCTGTTTCTTCTTTTATAGTACTAGTGTTTGTCTAGGAACATGGGCAGCAAAGGTTTCCTTCCCTTCCCCCAGCCACACAGCTTTTCCTGTCAAAGCAAGGGCAGGCCCTGAGCTGTGAAAGTGTCCTGCCTTGCCATGGCACATGCTTTTTGTGGTGAGTCAGAGAAGAGTCCAGGGTGCAGATGAGTCTTGTCCCTGTCTTCTCTCTTTCTTTTTTTTTTTTTTTTCCTTTTTTTTCTTTTTATCGGTACCAGAGATCGAACTCACCACCATGCGCTTGCAAAGCAGGCGCTTATGCCGCTGAGCTAAATCCCCAGCCCCGTCCCTGTCTTCTCTGACAGCCAGTCCTGCTGGAGTACACACAGGACTGCAGCTCCAGTGCTCCTGCCAGCACAGGATTTTCACTTGCATGCAGAGGAGCTTGCTCAGGATTCCTGCTCTACACCCAGCTTTTCCAACAGGGTCCCAGCAGAGAGCACTGGAAGAGCTGGACTATGAGACTGGACTCCATGCCTGGTGTGGCAAGGCATTCTGGATGAGACTTCAGGGGATGGAAGCTGGTACATTGAGATATGAACCAATTATTAGCATTATCATCAGCTAGCACATACCTGAGAATTTCAGCTAAAACTTGAAAAATGCAGTCAGTTTTTTTTTTTTTTTGAAGGGGGGTTTTAAAAGTTCAAATGTAATTATTTCATGAGCTCAAGGACTTGAGTCCTGATGTGTTTGGGAGGATCAAATAAAGGGCTTAATATTAATATTATATATGTTTTTTTAAAAGCTGTACTGAACATATGCTACACATCAGTTTCTTAGATCCAGAAAGATGCAATAGGGTAGGAAACTATAGATATCACAGGTGCAGAGATCAGAAAGAAGCACATTCATTAGGTAATCTTTCTCTTAGATGCTTCTATTCAACTTTATAGTAAGGTGGGGAAACATTTACAAGGCTCCAAAGGCTGTCTTATTCATATGCTGCTGTGCTGTGTAACACTATTTCCATGCAACAAATAAACTTTTAGCTTTTCAACTTGTAACTTGTATAGTTATAAAGTTAATGTGGTACCCAAGTTGGAGCACAATATTTTTCTTAGGTGAAAATATCCTATTTTGAAGAATTTTTATGTATTGTGATTTTGTGCATATTGGCAAGTATATCAGTCTAGACAGATTTGATTTTGGCAAGCTAGTATTGTGACTATAATGATTGTGACTATTGTGAATATAATTGTGACTTATAAGTAGTTTCCTATCTCTAAATTCTACCAAGCATATATTGTTCAAAGAATGAATTTGGGGGCAGTTTACTTCTAACCTGAGTTTTCTCAAAGTCCAGCAGCTCAATAAACTTGGACTATGTCAGTGTTAACAGACTTTATAACAAGAAAATACTTGTTTTTAAATATCTTGCATATGTGAAAGAACAGCCATTATTTTATTTCTTTGAGATAATTTTTTGTCTAGTTCATAGTGTATTTTTTTTAAGCCATAAAGTTGGGACTCAGACTGTAGCTCTGTGGTAGATTATGTGCTTAGCATACTTGATATCTTGGGTTCAATTCTTAGCAACAAAACATAAGTTATATTACAACTTAGTATATTAGTCTCATTTTAAGGTTAAGGGGCAACATGTTTCAAAATGATAGAATAAAGCAACTCTACTCAGGAGGCTTGAGTGTGGAAAATTTTAAGTTCAAGGCCAGTCTGGGCAACTTAGTAAGACCCTGTCTCAAAGTAAAATTGTTTAAAGGATGGGGAGATGTATTTCAATAGGAGAGTGCTTGCCTAGCATGTACAAGGCCTTGGATTTAATCCCCAGTATCTGTCTGTCTTTGTCTGTCTCTGACTCTGTCTCTGTCTCTGTCGCTGTGTCTTTTCTTCCCCCACCGCCACACATATATGCACACATATAAAAGGAGTAAGAAGAAAGAAGCTCCATTCTGAATAGTAACAGTTCTCAAGGTTAAACAAAGTGGCTCTGGAACAGTGGTTTTCAGAGAGGGTGGAGTCCCTCAGAACCTCTTGTACATTCCCATCCCATAACTCAAATAATCAAGAGAAAATAAGGATTGAAAAAAATAAGTAAAGTGAACTTAGTTGGTATAGAGGAAAATTTGATCAGTTATGCAATTAAGTATCTCAGAATACTTAGTGTGTAGTGCCACAAAAACATGATTATTTGAAGTCCTAGAATCTTAAATAAATATGATTTAATTCCAGATATTAGCCAAAAGGTATATATCTTGCTAAAACTACTCCCTCCAGCAAGCACAGAGGGATATAACACTAAACTTCAGAGAACGAAATGGTAAACTAAACTTCAACAAATTTCTGTTATTCAAAACATTAAAAATATTCACTATTTTTATTATGTAAAAGATTTTTAAAATCAATAACAAGAGAAAAAATAACTTTTTAAAATTGGTCAGGATTTGAGTAGACTCTTCAAAAAAGAAGGTATATAAGCGTAAAATAATACACAATTAGTACTACAGTCTCACTGAAATGGCTAAAATTAATAAGCCTGACAATAACCCTCCATTAGTGAGGTTATAGAGCAACCAGCCTGATAACATTACTAAGAGTGTAAACCCTTGGACAGTTTCTCATTAAGTTAGATGTACCTCTGTCTCAGAACTTCACACTTTGGTATTTGCTCAAAACATACATCCACAAAAGTGAAATAAAAGCATACATCCACAAAAAGACAGGTAACATACAAGACTGTTCATAGCAGCTTTAGTTGTAAAAGCCCCAAACTAGAAACAACCTAAATGTCCACTAAGGGAAGAAACTTTTAAAACACTATATATCATGAAATAGAATACTACTAAGCAAAAAAAGAATGAATTTGTAGCACAAGCAACATTAGGAATGAATCTCTAGTGCATTCAGTTAAACAAAAGATGCTAGATACAAAAGAATATATAATAAACGCGTGATTCCGTTTACTGTATATGACACTTATTAACAAGATAAATTAATTTATAGTATTAAAATTAGAGTAGTGATACAAGAGAAGTTCCTGCGTTGATATGCAGATATTCTATACTTTGACCAGAGATATGGCCATGTCAAAATTTATCAGATTCTGCACTTAATATCTGTGTATTTTGCTGTTTGTCACTATTAGTTTAATTTTTTAAAACCATATCCCACCTCTACTCTCTTTTTGAACTGTTAAAGCAGTTGAATTTATAGATTCTGCTAAAAAGCTAAAAATTGAATGTTTCCCTAAAGTACAGTTTTGTTATTCTTTTTGTTTTTGTTTCTCCAGCCTTCCATCTGGGAACTAACAACACTGGAATGAACTTTTGTGTCAGCCAGCCACTCTGGGTTACTGAACTTCAGATTCCAAGCCCCTTTCCCAGCACTTAGTCCCATTTTTAATTTTCAGGAAGTATTGTTGTAAAACTTGGCTCAGAATTCATCCTCTTCTTGGATTCCTTTTTCATTTGTTTTCTTCATATTGTGATTGGTTGCTCTTTGCTTGCACCCCACTCTTTTGAAAGCAGTGGATTAGAGGTTGCTGGTGCTGGGACAGTACTGGGCATTAGAACCTAGAAGTCAATTCCTTCGCTCAGGGAATGTATCCGTCATTGGTCACAGGCATGATATTTCATTCTTTCCTTTTAAATGTGCTTGCCTCAGTGGCTGTTTTCAGCTGAGTAAACCAAATGGGCACAAAAGCTCGCAAGAGCAGAACATAGAGTACAAGAGAAGAAAAAGAAAGG